CTCATTTGCTTTTAGTTCAAGAAATTAGCTTTCAGCTCTTCTTCTCCTGAAGACAAAATTTCTGGCTTGTTCCAATATAAGAGAATTCTTATTTTAGGGTTGGGTCGACCTCCTCCGTTGATGGGACGAGATTTCGACCCACTGTTGAAAAGAGAGCCGTCTGATTTTGATGAGAGGTGATTCCTTTCTCTCAAATACTCTTGTTTTTTTCTTCGTATAATGTTCTATTTGCATTGCAGTGAGGACGACCGGAGGCGGCACAAGAGGCGCAGTCGATCAAGAAGTCCTTCCAAGCGTGATTCGAGGTAAGTTTACAGGAGCACTCCTTACCAGGGAGTACTAATCCGAGTAATCTTTCAGATATTGCGATGCCTTGCTAATTTTGTTAACATTTTTATTTCTTACTTAGGATAAAGGATAAAGCATTTGCCGTTGATCAATCCCTTTTTGGGATGCGGCACGCATTCTACTTCCATTTGTACATTCGTAGTGGCGTTTGAATGCGATGTGGCCTATACTTGCGGGGGCCAGCCGATGTACAAGTCAGTGTTTTTATCCTCCCAGACAAGTCTGGTACCAATTAACCGACCCCGGAGGGATGGAAGGCTTGGTTGGCCCGGGCGACTCACGACCCAGGATTTGATCCCCGGACCGCTCGCGTGGTAAGCGTGCCACTTGCCACTACACCACTTCCGCCCTTATTTCTTACTAATAGAATGGATTACTTCATGCAGTGCTCAATAAACGTAGTGGCAACCTTCCCTACTTTCAATTACTACTGCCCATTACGAGTGGAAGTGAGGCCGCATTACATTGTTTTGATACTCACAAGGGAGGTCGTTCAGGGTGTGCCAAGCTTTTTCAAAATGGTTTCTTGCATGACATTGGGGCACATATGGGGACCACAGAAGCATGGTTCATTTTTCCTGAAATACCAGAAAAGGGGTCCCTAGTTCGATTCCTCGTGGTGACAAATTTTTGCATTTCGAGTTGACGTTTCCAAATTCGCGCAAAATGGAGTTAGCATGAATAATTAGTACCATATTCATGATTAGGAACCGTCAGTAACCCTTACAAATAGACTTTGATTGAAAAACTGGTGAAAAAGGTGTGACTAGGGACCCCCTTTTCTGGTATTCAGAGGGCCGTTCAGGAAAAAATTAAC